TGATCATATTTAATATTAGGTATACTATTTAGATACGAATGGTGCAGCCCATGCTCTATGTCTTTGATATCAGCCAATGCTATTAAAAAAAGTACATACTAAAAACTGCTATACATAAAATTAATAAAGTTAATATGTATAAAAACATATAAATATTTAAAAAATTAAATATTCAGTAACTGTCCAGATATTATCACGTTATTAATAAAATATACATGTATTATTCGATTGTCAAAGTTGATTATATTATTATTATGTCACTGCATTTACATACTTTATATAAAATAGTCTTTTTAATGCTCACTAATCCGGTGTGTAGAGTGCGGATCGAATTCACTATAAGCCAATAGAAAGGCTAATCACTATCAACCAAGTAATAAAACTCAATCATCCCACAGCTGAATGTTCGCCTTCCTACAAATCGCGAAGCTACTTATTATATAAGGTAATGCTCTTATCCCAAAATTCAAAGGAGAAGAAAAATGAAGATGTATAAGAACAATAACGAAATTTGCGAGAGAAAATGCGATATATCGAACTATGGTATCTTTAATAGAACGATTTTAAATATTGCTTGAATAAAAAAGAGGTGAGTTAATTCTCCGGACTGCGGAGATCGAAGGTTACGGTGGAACAGAAAGCTCTTCGATGAGGTAGCGTTTACTCTGCCAGTAAACAGCCAGCCACTGTCTATAATGTGGCGCGTGGGGTTGGCGCGAGCGCCGTACGAGAAGGGAGGGCTATCGACCCTACATCTGCCTATATTGACAGCGACGGAGGAACCACGCGGTCTGCTACATGCAACCCTCTTTCTTAAAGGCTGCTATACATATACTACGACACACGTGTATCGACAAATCGACTACGGAGTTCTCCGTTTTGTTGAAATGCGATATATCTGAAATTTAATTCGCAAGCGTGTTTTTGTCCAAAATGAAAAATATTGACACGCGGCTTATGTGGTGCAGCGTATCAACGTATATACGAGCGCTGCGTCATATCGTGAGATTCAGAATGTTGCATACATACACGTACATACATACATATATGTACATATATACGCAGTAGCTACACTTTTACCGCGAAATGTTAAATCATTCAGAACATATTAATGTGTATTAATAGTTGCAATAATGAATATTTTCTTCCTGATGATATATGTATGAAATAAATTAAATTATAGATTATAGCTACACAATTATTTAATTCATTTAATTAAATTTTTAATTTTATACATTTTATTTGCTATTTCTACGATGTCAAGCTTCTGTTTATACGATTTAGAATTGAAAGCATTCTTTTTTTATAAAAGTTACTCGTTTTGGTTTCCCTCGAATACCTGGAAGGTTAAGCTTCATTTCGTTCTTACACGCAGAATTCTTACGAATTGCGAAGTTAGCGGTTAGTTACTTGCAATCTCGTCGTTTGCTTTGCACGAACGTAAAGCAACAGGTAAATGTTCTAGCATCGCATGTCACAATTAATTTCTTTTACGTCGAGACAGCGTGAACGCGACCGATTAGAGAGATTATAACATATAAGATAGAGATCTTAATTGTTGAAAAGAGTGTTTAATTCGTTGTAACGCGACCTTTCGCTTTTGCAAAATGGCACATTTTTTCATCATTTCCAGCTTATATAGGATATTCTAAATCTGTCGTGCAATCGCGTCATTTTAATATTCAATTATTAATATGCTATATTTTTAATGATTTATACATATTAATGTTTTCTAAGTTCTTACCTTATGGTGGATAAGCGGTATGTCTTTTGGAATGTAAGATGATACACCTCAGTCTGTGAGTATGCGACGACAGCAGCGAACATGAAGGCGCTGAACTCTTTTTATCCTCGTCGGAATTCGCAACGCGAACGATCATCATTTCGCGTGACACCATCACGACCGATTATTTTTTTAAGCAGGTTTACTACGCAAGAAAAGAATCACATAGATCGATCATGTAGATCATCACAAGTAAAGTCACAATAATTAGCGCGAGTTTCCCGTGATTTGTTTTAATGAAACGTTTCTGCTTTCTTCGCCGCCCAGTCGCTGATGTCTGAAACATCATGAACGATTTACAAATCAGCGAGGATCTAACTTTTTCCTTAACTATTAAAGAGCTAAACGAGCGTCGCAATCTTGTTTCTTGATATTGTGAAGTTACGATGAGTTAGCTCAAGTTACAGTCAAGTTTTGATGATTAAACCATGCGAAATGATTATAAGCGCCGTTTTTTTCTTATTTAACTCCTTTTTAATTAGAATTTAATTAAATATGAATAAATTATTTTTCAAAATCAAAATTTTTAACTTTTTTTTAATAAAAGAGACATTAAAAGATAAAAAGAATAAGAGTCAACACAGATAGAAAAAATGAAAAAATCTTCTATTTTTCAATTTATATTTCAATTTTAAATATTCGAATCGTTTATAAAATATTATAGTCTTATTTTTCGATTAATTTAAACCAAAGTTTTTAAGAGGATTAAAATTTCTGTTAAATATTAAATATAACTAACAAACTAAAAATTTTAATTAATCTTTGGATTTGAGTTGCAACAGTTCAGCTTTCTATTAATTTAGAAGAGCTTAAAAAATATACATATGTTACAAATAAAAAAAGGTCATCATTTGATTACGGAGCATTACGAAGCACAAACTCTCTGTCATCAACAATGATAACTCGCCAACTTTCCATTTATAACCCAATTATGCTTTGCTGACTAATACACGTGGCATAAAGTCAAATGACCATTATTACTCTTTGTAATCCACGCGAAAGTCTCTAAACACAGATTTTCCTTTTCGATATCTCGTAAGTCCCGTAAGTAATGTCAGGTGTTCTTGCATCAGCTGCAGAATCAGAATTAATCTCTTTGAACTTGCTTACGTAAATAACTAGAATTACTAAACAAAAAGATATATTCTGACATAAAATATGCAGCAGTCAGCATCACTTTTAATCAATAGTGATTACATATTATTCATTACTTTCTTTTTCCATTCTCTCTGTATATAAAATTTTTCTGAAGCTTTTTTATTCATTCTGCTGTATTGAGCTTAAAGCAACCTGAATGAATAAACAACGTATGTCGCTGAGACTCTTAGGAGAGCAACAATTACGCATCCAAGAGATGCATGTTTTCATTACGCTATTGATCAATAACAATCACACAACAACAATTATGCTCATCAGCTCTCTCATTCGTGATCTTATGAATCTCCCGCGCGACTACAGTAATGCATACTGCAAGTCCAGCAGCGAGATCATTACTCTCAGTACTCTCTCCTCTAGTAGCTTCGCTGAAAGTTGCTCGAAAACGCGCGACAGCATCTTTTTCCCCTCACCTCCTCCTTCTTCCCTCTGTTCTTAACATACCAGATATTCCGTCCGCTTGTCAGCAGGGATATGGCAGCATTTCCAGTCTCGGAAATGGGTTGCATTCTTCACTAGAGCACTGTTTCGGCGTGTCCTTCGTCCTGTCGATGGTGACGGTGGCGGTGGCGGTGATGTTCTTGTGCTCTTTCCACGGTATCCTACTTGCGAAATGCGGCCTCATCGATGGAAGGACGCAACACAAAGGACGACGGCCACTTGTACGCTCATCTCCGCGCGGAATCTCCTCTTGCCGACGTACGCGCACATTCAGAATACGCCAGTCAGCCTTGTTCTCTTGTTGGTCACCCCGCAGAGCTTTTCTCACCCCTTTTTCCACTTCCCCTCTTCATCTGCCCACCTGTCCACCTTCAACCCCCTCGCTCGATCGCGCTCAAGCGCGCGTCCCTCTCGCTCTTAACCGCCCTGATCTGAGGGCGCGAAACTGCACACTCCGGGGGTTGCACTCCGCACGATGACGCGCCTCTGGAGGCTCTCGCGACACTAAACTACCCTTGGAACTAGCACCACGCCCTCCGCGTAGGTGGCACCACCGCTCGTTAACCCCCTTTTCGAGGTCAAAGCATCTGCTATTAACAATAAGTCTCATTCGAGAGTCCTTCGAGTGGTCTATTAACCATGGTGCTTTCTCTCTCGCTCTCTTTTTCTGTTTTTCTATCTCTTTACTCGTTATTCAGTCCTTTTACTCATGGTTTCTTCTCTGCTCGAATTTAGTTCTTTTTCATGGTAAACACATTTATAAAAGAATAAAATTTTGCAGAGGTTGAAAAAATAACTTTTAAATTTAACAATTAAATTAATATTATAATTAAAGAATATAGATATATAAATATATAATAATAATTTTAAAATATTTAAATATTTTTAAAAAGAGTCAAGTTTGATTATCATAATTTTCCCTTCTCGATACGTTTTTATTGGAAATATCCAGATATAAAAAATAAATCAATGTAATGAGAAAATTAACGAAATATTCTCTTTTCAATTTCAATCTATTCTTATTTATTTTGTTATAAATAATTTTTTAAAGTTTAATTAATTAAATATGTAGCTATTTCTTTTACATTTTTAGTAAAAAACTTTTTTAGGTAAGAAATTCTAGATTTTTGCTAAGCTCGATTCTTTGATCGACTTCGATATTTACAAAAACATTATAGGCGCATTTTTATAATGTATTTACTTATAACATTGGATTTATTTAACGCTTGTTTTTTTTCCAAAAATTGTTAGAATACTTTCGTAAGCACTGTTTTGTTTCCATGGACTAGAATTTTCATTCTTCGAAAACGTCGTTTGATATTTACAGATATGTACATAGTATTAAATTTACATTATGCAGCTGCTTTTCAAAAGGTGCGAATTCGTTGCGAATTTCGTTGCTAGGCAACAAATCTACAGTGTATATACAACATCATGATTATAATATTGCGATCAGTAAAGGAATGTAATCCTCTTTGAATTTTATAATTGTTCTAGCTCTAACGAAATTCAAAAGTTAATTAATTATGGAATAATTTAACATTAAAAATTTGTAACTTCATTTAAAAAAATTAAAATTCACAAGTATGCGTATTAAACGGAAGTTAAAGGATGTGTGCTATTTTTTTTATTACTAGTCATCATACGATGATGGCCAACTCTCCGCGTTTTTGTAATCAAAGGCCTGTATATCGTGCTCGAAGTCATCGGCGTCATCCATCATTAAATTCTCGTGATTCGAGTAGTTGGCGTAATGCTATTCTTCGTCGACAATCTCGCAGCTGTGATATTTGCTGGAGGAGTCAAGCCAGCTCTCCACACCGCTGGAAGCTAAATCATCGCAGGACGGCAGCTCCGGAAGAGGTTCCATGCTCGGCACACCCTTCTTGGTCAAGTCATTGGCTGCACGTTCCTTGGATTTCTTGTTAACTGAAATAAACGGTCATTCAATGAGATAGTCGATTAATATTTATATATATACAGGGTGTCTTACAACTATCGTATTTCCTCTTAAGGACATATTCTTGAGGTAATTTTGAGACGAAAATCCTAATACGAAAATGTCTCAAAATTACCTCAAGAATACGTTCTTAAGAGGAAATGCAGTAGTGTGAGACACTCTGTGTGTGTATATATATATATATATATATACATAAATTAAGACAACACGGAATATAGAAAGATAATTCCTTTTTTTCCAATTTCCTTATTACACATAAAACAATAATACAGGCTACTTTCCTTTTAAGAAACATAGTTGACACAAGCGTCGTTTCATTCTTCTTGATATTCAATGAATAACAAAGAATAACATTTGTATCGACTGTGTCTCCTAAAAGGAAAGCAACCTCAAGTTCAATTTGGCCTTATTTTTAGTTAATAAGTATATTAGACGTCGGTTTTGTTTCTTTCTTGCGAATCAGCTTCGATCAGCATCTGCTTGTAAGCTCGAGGGCTTCTATACTTACCGTTGATTCCTAAGCTGGCGCTGATAGAAGGAAGACGAATGTCCAAGTGTGATCCTTTGTTATTAATTATCTAAAATTTTAATAAGATCAAAATACGATTGAAGATACCCATATATATATATATATATATATATAGAGAGAGAGAGAGAGAGAGAGAGAGAGAGACAACTAGATTTGATAACAGACAGACAGATGGATAGAGAAAGAGAGAGAGATAGATAAAAATATATAAAATAAATTGAAATTAAGAGAAAATTATAGTTATGATATTCAATGAGTAAATGACACAAAATCTAAAAATTAAATATAGGAAAGAGAAGGTGTATGTACAATAATTATAAAAACAAAATAGAAATGAAATAAAATGAAACAGAAACACAGTGAATACACAATAAAATAAAAAGGAAAGAAAAACAAAAGCGAAATAATATAAGGAATAAGATGAATAAAAATAACAATGAGATAAATGATTTAAAAAAAATTATGCAAGCGGGTAAGCTGCAGAGAGAGAGAAAATATTAACTCAATTTTAAAATAAAAATGATAATTTTTATTTTAAAATTGAGTTAATTATTTTTAAAAAAGTACCTTATTATTCATTGCGTAAAGCTTCGTTGCGATATCCCGTGCCACCAGTGTAGTTAAGACGGTTGCAAGATAGGTTTCCTTCACTAGCAAATATTCCAAGGCTGATCGTTGCCAATACAAATATCTGCAAGAACTCGCCGCTATGATGGATACCTAAAACATTTAGTTGAAATTTCTAAGTTAAATTAATTTCAACGATTAGAATGAAAAATTAATTGAAGTCGTACCTTAAATTTATCGTCGACGGAAGCTCGAGAGCTTTCGAATTCCGGTGAATCCAAAAATTCACATGGCAGTATCGGATGTAGAAAACCGTTGATTTCGTTTAAGACGTTGACTTTTCCAGTGAGTAGCAAGCCTAATCTATCTGTTCTTGTTAGATTCTGCATCGCATACGCCTCGCCAGCATGAAGAGACATTATCGTCGCAAATTCTGGAGATACTAATCGCTTGAATTGTATTCGTGAGACCTACGCAAATTCAAAGTTAAAGGAAAAGCAGATTAATCCCGAAGAGCGTTGCAAAAACTTCTTTTTTCCAAAAAGCTTACTTTGAAGGGATAAAAGAGCGTGTGATAAGCTTCTTCCAATTCGGGATCAAATCTGATGGGTCTCATTTGATAAATGATATATACTAATTGACCAATATTTAGTAATAAAAAACTGAAATTCCAGGAGAAGATATCTGGTGCGCAGATCACGTGCCAAGCCCATCCTGATAGTAACATGAAACCTAAAAATAAATAATAGGATCAAGAAAGAATCCAGATAGCACACAGGTATGTCTAAAATAGAGACATATAAGATGTCTTACAAACATCTTTAAGACGTTTTATGTCCCGATTTTGAACATGGTGTTGTCTGCGAAATTTATTTAATTGAATTTTAATGAAATGAAATCATCAATTTTTAATAAGATTTGTTATGTGTATAGAATACAGAATTAGTTCCACATAAAAATTTACAATATAAAACCACTACGTATTCTTTTCATTGTTTTCATAATGTAAATAATTAACTAATTAATTACCTATTATTAGCACCGAATGCATGAACAGAATCCCCTTTTTCGAGGACGGCGCCGAGTACGACAATGCGAAGCAAAAATTTGCCAACTGGAATAAAATGTGTTGAGGCTGTTGCCACAAACAGAGTGCGGGGTTTCCTTGAAAAAAAGAAAGAAGAATCGATAATTTGATTGCTTTTCATAAACTTTTTATTCATATAAACGCGGCAATATTTCTGCTGTGCGCAACATCTTTCATTCATATATGGCAAGCAATCCTTATTATATTACGTTTTTACATCGTTGTAAAAAAAATCGAAGATACTCCTTATTTTACATGTTTTGAATAAATAAGAATGTTTTAATCAATACAAAAGAATAAATCTCGCTTTAAAATGCAAGAATTCCTTTCTCTGGAACTCACCGATAGAACTGCTGTTGTATGATGGCAAAGGATCACGACCCAGCCCGGGACTCATTTTATTTAAAGCAGAAATACGTTATTATGGGTTAAAATATGCTGTTACAGATATGAGAATCGACTGTTCATGTTCAATGATATTTCTTAGACGAGAGCTTGGTGTGTTTTCACCCCTCGCACACGCGGATACTGAAAGATTTCCCTCAGGGCGCATGTGCTAGTTTCACTAAGATCGATATTGTTTCCCGTCGGTCCGAAGAGATTAAATGTGTAATTTTACAGTACCGATTCGCGATAAAGAAAAATCATATGGTAATTCATAGCAAATATATATATATGTATTTATTTTATAAAAGTATATCCTTCTTTTTATTGCAATAATTTATTTTTTCTATATGTACATAAATGTATGTAATATATATTATATGCATATATAGGATTTCTTAAATAACGTCCACTAATCATATAGTACTATCTCTGATAAAAAATTAAATCAAAAAGTCCCTCTACCATTTTGCAATTTTCATAATATATTGTCTAAAATCGACGCATAAAACAACTTTAAGATTTCTTTAAAAGTTCTTTAACCTTCGGACAGCGGACGTCGTGCTACTCGCACGGCGGACGCAGGATCAAAAGTGACCCATGAATGAAATTGTTTTAAAACGTTTGAAAAACAATTTTTTATTATGATATGTATAAAATATGTAGAAAGAGAAATAAAAACACATATTTATCATAGAAACAAATATCCATTTATTTATTTTCTTCACACACAGTTAAAAAGATTGAAAAGAGTAAACAACTCGCGGGTCTCCCTGTGTCCGCTGGCGGAAGGTTAAGAAACATCTTCAAAATATTTTACAAAGAACACTGAAAAATATCTTAAAATTGTCTTATGCATTGATTTTATCCGTTTATTCGGCAATCCTTAGAAATTCAGGACCCGGCACAGTGAGCGGAAAAATTCGATCGACGCTCTAATTCTTAACCAATTTTAAACTTTTTTTTTAATTTGCTCGAAATTGAATACGCTATAAGTCCCATTCTACGTAAATTTTGATTACGGTCCAAATTAAAAATTGCCAATCCAATATTCGTTATCGTGTAATTTTGATTTATTTTGCTCACTTCATTAGATCGGCAATTTTTACTTTGTACTGTAATCAAAATTTACGCAGAATGAGCTCATAGCTCATTCAATTTCGAGCAAATTAAAAAAAAGCTTTAAAATTGGTTAAGAATTAGAGCGTCAGACGAATTTTGTTCACAAAGATGTTTTTCCACCTACTCGTGCTCCGGTGGCACGGGTTAAAATTGTTCAAAAAATCTTAAAAAAATATGGGGTTATTTTTTCGAGATACTGAACTACTTTAGAGGGTGTTCCGATTAAATTTCAAAAATTGTTAAAATAACGACCACCCTAATGTTTATACATATTTATATTATATATTCATGCATGAAAAATTTTTTACTGGGGTGTGTTGAGGATTTTATGGTTTAATCCGTTTTTATATTTATATAATTAAATATTTTTATGTCAATTTGTGTATATACGACGGCTTTAATGTGCATCAGTGCGCACTGAGTGTATCCAATCGAATTCGCTAAATGTCATCATGGAAATAAAAAATGTCAGTTATTTAAAAATAATTATCCGTAAAATTGCAAAAATAAACTTGCTGTAAAATGGTAAAAATAAAATTTTATCAATAATGATGACATAAAAAAATATTAATTTTTTTCATTGAAAAATTATATTTCATAGCTTCTAATGTAAAATACTTTTCAAATTACTAGGAATATTTCATCATGTCTCGATGTTTTCTTTTCTTGATATTTACAGCACTGACATGATTCGACGCGCGCTTCCGTTCGACCGGCAAGGCGCTGAAGTTACTGCGGAATCGATAAAGAGTTCAGAATGGAAGCCAGTCATAAACAGCTTATTTATCTTCGCAATAATCGGCCGCCGCGAGCGCTTGCGACGTGCGACAAATCGTTCTGGGGTTTTAAGTGAGTGCAAAAGAAAATCGGCTGTTAATATTACGGCTCATTACAGCTCGACATTCGTTTCCTTGCACAATTTAACGGCTGACGCATAAGTTAACGCGTTTCTTGCACGACTTAACCTCCCAGAACGAAACCAAAGTGCGTCTCTAAAGAACTCTTTGTTGATTTTATATCCTAATTTTGTATTGATTGCCTATTTATTTATTTGTTTTTGATAAGAAAAAATATGTCTGGATAAATTTCCTTTTTGTTCAAATTTATTAATAATTTATTACACGTAGTTTTTGTGTATTGTAATGTGAAATTTAATAAACAAGTTTTGTTCAAAGAAGTGTTTCTATGAGTGTTGACACACAGTTAAAAGTTTTTTTTTTACAGTTGCAGATGATCAATGTTGGAAGGATGGTATTGCAGATCTATTGCCAACAACAATGCAGAAGAAGAAGACGATGAGGAGAGTCCCGAGGAAGAAGTGCCTAATTATAAGGACCAGTATCGCAATCTCAAAAGGAAGTTGAAATTTTTAATTTATGTATGCAAGGAACATTTCAATATCTAACATTCATCTATATTATTTATTTTACAATAAAATATGTATTATATTACAGGAGAATGAATGTTTCCAAGAAGCTTTGCGTTCTACACAAAGGAAACTGCTCAAGGTGAATAGAGATAAAAGTTTCCTATTAGATCGCCTGCTACAATATGAAAAAGTAGATGCGTCATTTAGTGAAAGCGATGAAACTGATTCATCAGATGAAGAAGTTGTTCGCCTTGATAATTCCAAGAGGTAAGAAAATTATATAATAATCAGGTTATGAAATAAAAAAAATTTTATCATAAACCAATGAGAAGCTGTGTTAAAATGTTTTATCTATTATCATACTGGATGTCCTTTCATCGGCAGATTCTGTGGAACATTCTAGGATGAAAAAAATTCTTATATGAAAATGTCGAGATTATAATACTTTTTAAATTAGTTAATTTTTTAAGTATGCTAATATCTTATGAAATCATTAACACTTTAAAATAGGAAGCTGAAATTTGGCAGTTATATCAATTTTACTATAAATACCTCAATTATATCAATATTTGATAATTGAATCTTTACACAAGGATTATGCAATATGCGATTCTTGAGCGCATTAATTGTAGCTGTTATAATAGCCAACTTTAATCATTTATAATTTGAAAAAAAAGTCATCATTTTTATATAGAAATTTTCATTTTAAAATATTCCACAAACTGTATACCAGTAAAAAAACATCTGGCAATTTTGGGTTTGTGTATCAACAATATGCTATATGATATAAAAAGAAAGCATTACCTATAAAGCACAAGTTTTATTAATTGTTTATTATATGAATTTACGTAATTTTTAGGAAAAAAGTTGAGATGAATATCAATAATCATACTTCTCATCATTCGTCTATGGTCACAAAACCACTCAGCACCAGTAAGAAGAAAAGGAGTACTCCAAAAGTTGCTAAAACGAACAACACACCTATAGTAAATATATTTCTGTATTTCATGTAATATGTTTAAAAATTATATTTTATTACAAGATTATCATAATATGGATTTTTTTTACTTCAGGTACAATCCACGAATAATTTGGTTCCAATGTCCTTGATGTCTGACGGACATATGACACCTGAGGAAGTAGAAAGACATTTGGAATCTCGCCAGACATATCTGGAACTTGTGCCAGAGAAAGCACCACCTACAGTTCCAACAGAAATGTTTAGTAATGATCCTTCTTTGGACAGGTAAGTTTCTTTGTTACTAATAAATATTTTTTATCCCTTTTTGGGTCTTTAATAAAAATGAAATTATTAAAATCCAATTTTTAGTGAATCGAATGAAATTGGAGAACTTGAGACGTCGCCTAGTAATATGGGTGAAGATTGTCTCAGTGTGGACATGATGGCGGAGTGACAAACATTCGTTTATAGTTTACTCATTAATTATAAAGTGCACATATAGTTACATGGCTCTTTAAGATTATTTCACGCGACTAACTCAACTGTATCCACTATAATATAATACAAATTTTTATACACACAATAATAAAGGACGCTCCTAATTTTAATCTCCTTTTCCAGCATACCTATGAATTATATGACACATCCGTCTTATGTTTCGTGCAGTTTGTTTGTTTATAAAAATATTTACAAAAATTTCGAAAATTTCGTTCGTAATGATTAAGAAAAGCAATTCGATAACTGACATTTTGGATAGCATAATTTCAAAAATAGAAACAGAATTGGAGCAGAACTCGTTACACGTACACCAATCGGGGTTCGAAGATGTTACAATATCAGAAAAAAGAAATCGATTATCGTGCGATTCGGTGGAAGACGTAAACTGTCGTATTTGTTATGATCATAATCAAGAACTATCTATTATGTACCCCTGCAAGTGTAAGGTTCGGGAGAATAGAGTATAAAAATTCGATTATACACAATAATTTAGAAAATTAAAAGTTGAAAATTTCCTAAAATCCAGGATATTAAAAATTCACATAGCTCTATATATATTTCTCTCTCTTTTTCTCTTTTTTATTGTTTTAATAAATTATAAATATTTTAATTTAGAGTGACTTAATTTTTTCAATCAAATACATTTGAAAAACGTCCACATCTCACACAATAACTATATAATTATAATGATGACAATTGGAATTAGGGAACAATGGGCGCGATCCATCTGAAATGTTTGGAACGGTGGTTAGAAGAAAGCAATAGGAATAATTGTGAATTGTGCGGTCACGAGTTCCGGATGGAACGCACGCCTCGTTACAAGGTTCTTCGGTCTGTTATAATCTGGTTATGCCTGAATCACAGCGATCATCAGATGTATGTCCGCAATGTGAAGGCCGATCTACTAAGATGTCTTATAGTGACCCCAGTGACCATCGCGTGTTCTTATATCTGCGTAGTGGCTGCCGATTTTTACGCTATGAATAATTACGATAATTTTCCACCCGCGCGATGGACCACCTATTCCTTACTATCAATGATGGCGTTACTAATACTGTTTTTCTTCGTTTGGATCTACATGACGGTACAATATCATCAAAAAGCATGGTTTTACTGGTGGCAGAAAACCAGTAGCGTAAAAATTGTTGATTTAATGCCGGAAAATATTGCTTTAAGTAGAAACGATAAGTGTGATGTGTCACAAGTTTAACAATGGGTATCGAGGATAATAGAGAAGTTGATTAGGAAGCTCGTCGTTTGATGGAAATCTTTCCACGACTCAATTGCGATATGTAAATGCGTACTTTGCTGCTGTCAGTTACTTTCTTCACCCAAATCTGAAAAAATAAATATCTTGCGATGATGCGCGATTTATTTAATGCTTTAAACACTTACCGCTTCGGTGCCAATTGCAGAAATGTTAGCTGCGAACCTATTAAGATCCTTGCCTTCGACATAGACGGGTTGACCACGATGGAACCTTTAATGAAATTCGACCAAAGGATTCCTTTATGTTTAAGAAGAATTTAAATATTGAATATAAAGTAATACAGAAATAAATCAAAGGTACCATCTTCGCTCATATAATAATTTTCCGTCTTCTATCCGAGTTTCCACCAATGGAGTTTCAGGCGTCTGTGATATATGTTGTGATGGAATATTTACCGCGTTGTAATGTGGCAAAACTACTGTAAATACAGTTGTATTAACTAAAAAATGTGTATTAACTAAAAAATTTATTTCTTATTCTTAGTTTTTACATTGATTATGTTCGCCCTTTTACAACTATGTACAAAATATCATAAAATTTGCAAAGATCAAATACTATAGTTCTGGAAAAACTAAATACTAAAAATTATAATCACAGCATAAAAATTATAATTCGCAATTATTCGAAATTTTGTAAATTTTTGTACAAATTACAAAAAACAAAGGGATCATAGATTTTCATTACTTAAAGTTTTCCAAGAAATATTCTGCTATAGTATTTTGAATCGTGAATTTTAAGATATCAAGTACTGTGCACCTGGCTTGCGAATAGTGGTCGGCGCTTTCGCACGATTGATTGCTTTTAAGTCAAGTTCAATATCTTTATCGTCCAATACATAATTTAGTTGTGCAGGAGGTGGTTTTCGCCGTTTCTCTACTTTTTCAGGTACTGGATCGTTGGGACGTCTGCGTAATTTTCTTGTCATTACAGGCTTTACCTAATTAGAAAATAGAATGACGTAAGTAAGAAATATATATTCAGAGTGTTTTTCTAAATAAAAATGCGAAAAATTTTAAGAGATGATTTTTTATCAAAAATTAAGGAGAATTTTTCATATAAATTTTCACATCCTTATATCTCTCTTTAAGTTTCTTAAAAGAAGGGGTAAAAATTAAGTTCTTATTTTTTAAAAATATTAATAAGTATCTTCTTATTAATATTTTTATTGATGGAAAATGTCCACTAAATTTTATTTGTCGAAAAAATAATAAGAAAATGCAGATAAAAGATGTTGTAAACCATGTACTGATAATTCAAAAAGAGATCTTTGTCTTAGATCATTAAAAATTTATTAACAAACTAAATAATTTTAATTATTATTATTCAAATCATCTTCATTTGTCTAACTTACTCATATATCTAACTTATATCCAAAATTTGAGAAAAAAAAACTTAATTTTTATCTTGTCTTTTTAAGAACTGTAACTCCTCAAAATGGAATATAGGAGTATACATATACATATGTTTATACAAAAAACTCTCTTTAATTTTTGACAAAGAATGATCTAAATTTTTCGCACTTATTTAGAAACATCATGTATATTGTATACATGTGTGTATATATATATTATTTAAGAATAGATTCAAATACCTCCATAGAATCACCAGTGAGCTCCATTGTATGACGATCTGACTCAATCATTTTTCGTTTTTCCTCCATATCAGTAAGTAGATTTTCCTTAAGATCGATTTTTTTTTCTTCAAATTCTTTTGCTGCTGCTTTCTTCTCAGATATATAATCGCGCTCAACCCACTCCGTCAAGTAATCCCGATAAACTATATTCAGTCTTAGTCTAGCAAAGATAACATCTCAATTAGAAAGAATTTCATATGAATAATGTCGCGTTGATAAAAAGAAATTATAGATAATACCGTTCCTTATATTGCGCTTCTAGTCGTTTTAGTTTACGATTGTATTCAGGATGCGTGCCTTCCTTCAATTGTTGCAGCTGTTTTTTCAAGCTAGCTAATTTATCTTGGTACATTCTGAAAAATTGCATATGAAATACAATTTCCAGTGCCATATAAATAAATAAATAAATTCATATATAGTAACTTTGCAGACTTACTGTTCTTTGATTTCTGTATATTCTTCAGATTTTCCCATATCAGTTTCGCTCGCTTCTTCGGTATCTAAAAAAATTTATTAATTTTTACAAATATTTCTCAACATATTACTTAATTTATATTACATATTACTTAATATATATTATAGGGAAGGTATAATTCCAAAAAATTAAGGGCATGAAATTATGCGGGAAAAATACTCCTCTCTCATGCAGACGTACGTAATTTCTTTTTATTATTACCTTCGTCGCTTTCATCTTGCTCCTCGGCATCCCTATCCTCCTCCAGATATTCTTCATTGTCTTCATCGAGATCATAGTCGTCCTGACGATCATACATCGTAGAAAAACCGGAGTCCTGATACGACATTGTCACACATATCTGTGCGATACATACTCCAACGTCTTCAATAGCGATACACAACAAACCTACTCCGAGTTAAGTTAGGTTAGTTAGGTTAGAAATAAACCCCTGAGCCTGAGAGTAGATTGAATGGACATTGGTGGACATGCCTACACTTTAAAAAACAGACTCCGTTTACTGGCGCCTCTATCGTTGATGGGTACACGTTGAACTATGTATGTACTACCACCGACGAGATACACTATGGGCGGAATCCATAGACGATGCTCAAGATTCGAGATGGTCTTAGGCCCTGCGCACAATAGAGGAAATATTAGGAACAGGAATAGATATTAAGATTTTAACCTATCAGATACCAGTTACACCGGAATACACGATTTCTGATAAGTTGAAATCTTAATATCTATTTCTGTTCCTAATATTTCCTCCATTGTGCGCAGGGCCTTAAGCTAGTGCATGAATGGCTGCGTTCAGCAGAACGTTTGTTTTGCAACTGTTGTAAGTTTCCTTCGCGCTAATTGGATCATACTTTTAGATCTAGAAGAATGGTCCTATCTCAGCAGACAATCATAAAACGGTTGCAAAACTGTTGAGTCTGCTGAACGCAGCCAATCAATCAGAGAGCCGTATTAGCATCTTAAGGCCGGTATTCATAGTCAATTCTTATATTCAAGATCATCTCAAGTTCAGCCTTGAGGTGTTACGAACCAATAAGAGAGCCACATTAGCGTATTAAGACATTACTTAAGACGGTCTTGAAATAAGAATCGACTATGAATACCGGCCTAAGACTTTCCTTGGCTGCGTTCGGAAACATCACCTGAGTACTCTCGTGTATTATCTTTGTTTAACATTGGATGAACACAAGGATAAAACGATACATGGGGGCACTCGGATGATGTTTCCGAACGCAGCCTTTGAGATTAAGCCCGGATCTACAATAGGTGTTTTAAGCTTTAAGTCGTAAGAAATTGACCAATTACAGTCGAATCCAAGGAGAATAATCGACTGTGATTCGCCCATTTCTTATGGCTTAAGGCTTAAAGTTTATTGTAGATCCGGAGTAAGAACGAACTATGGATTCCGGTCTATTAAAGATCGACATCCTTACGGGAGTTCGCGTCCTTGTTAATATTGAAGTGATTTAGAGTAAAAAAACTGATAATATTGTACTAATTTTATGATTTATTAGTTTTGTAGACGTGTTTATCGGTGTACATTCATTTAAAACTCAATAATACTCGAATTTTCTTGAAAATTGTGATTTCAGTGTTATCATCAACGTTTGATTATCAACAGAGATGATAACTGTAGAGAAAAAATTGTAATTTTTCGGCAACATATAGGATATAGCTTTACGAGTATGCATATTTATTTATGGAGCATTTATGTAATAAAATATCATGAATTTAATAATGTATTAGCTAAATATTTATGTTAATAATAGCAAATTTATATCAATTGTCGATAATGTCAGCATCAGAGTTGGGCAAGTAAAATACTCGACGTAAATTACATAGTTTTAGATATGTAAAACATTAAGTTGGTACAAAAAAAATGGCAAGCACATATTGAAGAGGAGAAAAACAATATAAAAGAATGCAAAAGAGTTATTCAAAAGGGATTGTTGAGGTGGAATAGACTATAAATATTCTAGTTTTTTTTAAACAAAAGCAAAATAAATGCTTTAGTTTCTAAATAAAGTTTACGATATCTCAAAATAGAATTCAAAAGTATTCAAAAACAAATATAAATATTCTCTCGTATATTCTCTTGTATAGAATTCAAGAGCTTTGAAATGAATTTTAATTTATGATCGTATGACTTATTATTAAAAATTTTGGCTATTTGAATTTTAGTCTGTATAATTACATATAATAGTTTAACAAAAAATTATTTTCTTTTCTCTTTGAAATGTCATTAATACATATCCTGAAGATTTTTTTCACGTTGAACATAATGCCATAATCAAAATTTGCCTAGCACATCAGAATTTTTAATAAATGTATATAAATATATATATCATTTAAAAACATCAAGGGTATTTTTTATTTTACTCAATTAAATAAACTTGTAAATTAATATTTATTAAGTATAACTGTTCAATTCATGCAGAAAGATGAAATAACAGACATGACGAGATTTGAGTAAATCATTTTACTAATGTTTATTAATAAACATTTCATATAGATTATTTGAATTTATTATAATTTAATACGTGTTGTTGTTCTTGTAATCGTCGCAATTACAGTTTATCGTTATTTACACTATTCAGTATAAAATGCGAGTTCGAGATTACATCATCGTCGTCATCGTTATCATTGTCACACCACTATACTGTTTTATTATTATTATTATTATTACGACTTTTCTCATTTGTTTCTTTTTTCTCGGACACTACCTGTCATCGATTAATTAATTATCAATGCTTGTACTCAGGAAAATGGGGGGGCAGTAGGGCAGTATTTTCGTTATCACTAGTGTTGTTGGTAATTAATTCTTTAGGGGAATCATTATTCATTATGTTACAATCTAGACTAAAATTATCGTCTAGTGGGCGTTTGTTAATATTAGGCATGTGATTAACATCGATTCCACGAACTTCGCTTAGCGTTTGCTGTTGTTGGGATTGAGCAGATTCGACTTCGGCGTTGCTGCCGGCGTCGAGGTTGTTTTCGATTTGTGGGGGGGATGGATAATAGCCGCGCTGCGTGATTGGCAGTTGTTCCACCGGCAGTTGGTGTTGCTGTTGCTGCGCCTGTTGCTGCACCGGCATCGCAGACGGCGGTGGTGGCTGCTGCGGCGGCCGGTGCTGCACTCCTCCTCCTCCTCCTCCTCCATCCTCACTAGTCCACCGGGCTACTTGTTGTTGAGCTTGAATAAATGCATCACTAGAAAATAATAAGATTACACGAGCCCATTGGATCTAGTCCACCGCCACTAATGCTGCATTCGAATGCACGACGTAACAACATTCAGTAAACGAAGTCATTGGTGAGACCCAGTCGACCCAGAAACAGGAGCTGTTAGCAAAGAGAAATCTGAGAATGGGTATCTCGGCCTCTTTTTCGTATACCAAATCTCGTAGGATAATATCCACGTTTTTGTCGTTCTTTTCCGTACTATTACGTGGATTAGACAATCAAAGTTGATTATTCGTCTTTGTCTAATCCATGTAATAATATGGAAAAGAATCATAAAAACGTGGACATTACCCTACGAGATTGGTACACGAAAAAGGCCGGGATGTCCACTCCCAGATTTCTCTCTGCTGTTAGTGTATACGTGATTATTCTCTAGGGATTTTGTGATCAGATCTTTAATATGTAATCAAAAGTTTAGTATACTGTACAATAGAAGGGGATGGTGGATTATAAGGGCGCATTTCGATTAGGATGGAAAAGTAAAATGTAAAAAAGCAAAAGCTGGTTGAGCTAATCAAACATTGGCTTTTTCTTTCTAACTTTTATCTCTGATTTGGCTTTCGCTTTTCCACATTCTACTTTTCCACTCTTCACCTAAATACGCTTTACGAATTAACCATAGGCTAATCAGGAAATGCTCTGAGCATTAGTTTTTAAAAATTTTAGTAAATATTTTTAGCTGCAACATTGCAACTATGATAAATATATTGTATCAAAATACAATTGAATTACTAAATTAAAACTATTATTCCTTATTTATAGCATAAAAAAGATTATACAAATTCTATCATTGAAATTTTCACGTATACTAATTTATATATTTTATCTCGATTAATAAAAAAACGTTTTTTAAATCAAGAATATAAATTTTAAAAGTAATCGATTCGATGATTAAAAAAATTATATCCTTCCTTATTGATCAACATATTTTTTATAATTTATATGTGAATATATAAAATGATATATATTTTACTAACTTTACACGCGGAATTAATTCATTTCACACTTTATGTTAGCTCTAATTAAATTGAAATTAGACTCTGAGAGGAAATATCACGTACACACATTAATCGAAAATTTAATTAAGACATTTAAAGCACGTGCCAAGCTTTGTGACTCACTACAATTGCTATTTTAATTCAACATTCCTTATATATATTATACACATTATCATCAAACGTATCAACGAAGAGAAACTTCAGATAAGGATAAGTGCGTACATCAATCATAATATAGATCATTTCATTGCGCGAAATAGATTGGAAAAAGTTTCTTACAGTCGCTTGAGAAATTATAGTCTATGATAATCTACTATAGTGTTTAACGAGTTTTTGCAATGCAAAATACTAGAAGCGACATGCACGAGGTTTAATCATAATTGTGAGTTCTGTTAGATGTCCCAGATCTATTTAATCTATTACGTATTAATCAATTACGTGAAAATTAGTCGAAAATTAAAAAAAAAAGATTAAGACTTAAGAAACGACTGTATATGTATATGAATACAAATACGATAGAGAACTTTATCACGATCACAAAGTTAGATGTTTCAAATATAATACAATATATATTCTTTTATTAAATCAATTTATTTCAGATATGATTGTGCACCGATAACTTTCGTACTTTCAACACAATCAGTCTGAAACGCTAATAATTCTTCCTGAAAAAAAAGTTACTTATATAAAACATAAATTATCCATATTTGATCTATGCTTGAAGATGAGTCAATTTATAATAATAGATTTAGGACATATTTGTATTTTGAAAAAGAGTTCACTAGTCACATATGTATTGATATTGTTTAGAGCAACATTCATACGATGCAGAAGCAAACGAAAAAGCATGCAGACTTTCGTGTGCTTTTCTCTGCTAAATTTTATATGTTGCATTATTCTTAACAAACTGCTTTATTAATTCAATCTGCGATGCAATTGCGAACGCTGCAATTCTGCGAAATTAAATATTGTATGCCGAGTCCATTTATACTTTTTAATGTAGATTTCAGATTCTCCAGCCAATAGTATTGTGATTTGCACAATACTCACAATTTTCTGTTTTATATATGTTGTTCTTGAATAT